CAGGCAAGTCGAATTACACGATGAGTCATTTTACTGCAGCTAGCAAAAAGCTMCACATATTCTTTGTTATTTAGATTCCCTTTGGACATTAGTGAAACTAGATGAGTTAATTACAAAAGGAAGTGGGCAAAGCATTCTGGGAGTAGTAGCCTATTTTTAGCAATCCAAGGTTCGATCCTCGACTGGAGCACTTCTGAAAACTTCTTTTTTTCTTTCTTTCTTTCTTTTTTTAAGTGAAATATAGGTGTTCTAGTCATGTTAGATTTTTATCGTAGCAATTTTTTTATTAATATTTACGAGCCGCGTTTGTTAAATTGCAGAAACAAGATGATACTACAGCGGCGTCGAACGGAGGGTCGCAGGTTCGAATCTCGTCTCAAGCACTTTTTTTTCTTCTTTCTTTTTCAAGTAAAYATAATATAGTTGTATAGTCATCTTGATTTTCTATAGATTTTGTTTAATAATTATTTTCGAGCCATTATTTTATATATGGATTTGATACTCGAGAGAACTTAGGATCACGGCTTTGATTCTTGACTCGATCACTTCTAAGTGATTCTTTTTTCTTTTTTCTTCTTTTTTTACTGAAATATACTTTGATATTTTGATACTTTGATATTTGTTTCACATTTTACACGCAAGATCATACTTGAATAGCGGCGTTGAACAGATGATCGGGGGTTCAAATTTCGTCTCGAGATGCAATCTGAATGCTAAATTTTCGCTGCGATGATAAAAATATTCAACAAATAATGTGAAATCATCATACGCAAAATCTATTAAATCGATCGCGGCGCTGGTAAAAGTATATATGAGCGTAACCTGGACACGGTATGTTTCACGAAGTGGTTCTCGTTTTATTAAAGTTCACAGTTTGCACGTACTTTAAAAGTTGCCACCCACAACAGGCATTTGTCATCGGGGTTAGTTACAGTCACAGACGAGATAAAGACGTCCGAACCACCTCAAGTAGTCTCGACGGACTTGTGTCGACGGGTATAAAACACAGGGAGCCCAGGTTCAGCACGGCGGTGTCAATGTATTGCGTGGTTCGCGGTTCGAGCCCTCATGAAGCCGTCAGTTTATTCTCCTTAATATTTTGAGACTTTTCAAGACTTCAATTTTCTTTTTTCGTTAATAAGTATTAACAATATGTTTATTTAANTACCCCGGAATACCCCGGAATACCCCGGAATACGCTGGAATACCCAGGAATACCCCGGAACACCCTGGAACACCCCGGAATACACCCGGAACATCTCGGAACACCAAAAAAAGTAACAATAATAACAAATATAATAAAGTGGATGGCGAAATGAAAGAAAGGAATACACAAAAACATGAATCAATGAATGAATCAATAAAACATTCAATTATCTTGATTGAACATTTTTTCCATCTTTGATATTCATTACAATTTTTATCTGTACTAAACACTAGAAAATTATCAAATATRTCAATTCATAATCGCATTTATCAAGAGAGCTTTTAATTTATCGATGTGCTAACAATTACTTAACCAATGAACATGAACAAGGTACTTGGGATATCGAATAAATTCAATTGACGTTAATGTTAATTTGTCCACGTTGAAGTTTCTGAATCTTCTATTAAAAGTTTTAACTTATTAAAATAAGGTWAATTTACGCTACAATAGCCAACTTTCGAAATATGGCTGACTGGCCGAGCACAACTGAAGCCATGAAGACGAGGCTTAAAAACTAATCRCTATGTTTCTCCTGAGCTTGGTGTTCAATTCTTTCTGTRACAAGTCAATCAAAATAATAAAAGTGAGGTATCGACCCAATCTTTTTTYAAAACATCAAAACACGAAATCTGTGTGTGTTCATTTAAACCTTATCAGCCTTATAGACCAAGCTCCTTCTTGATAAGGTCCTTATTGCTTTGAATAAGGCGGCAACTAWTAGGAGGACATAAGCAAAAGTGCGAACTAAAATAGGGCTCTTTCTAATGCAGTTCTCGTTGCAGTGGAAATAAACATTAAACAATTTGGACTGCATATCTCCATTTGCGTTTGTGAATTCTCTGTTCTTTGACACGATGACTATAKGTCGTACGAWAGCCCACTTTTATTATTCTGATGATTTATTCATGTTYTTGCGTATTTCTTTCTTTCRTTTCACAATTCACTTTATTCTATTTGTTATTATTCTTTTTGGTGGTGTTACAATACGTTCCGATGATGTTCCAGGGTGTTCCGGCGGTGTTCCATGTTTTACAGGTGGTATAAAAATGTGAAAAAAAGGATTAGCTGCATTGTCGTTCGATTTCCTTCTCAGACAAAAATCTTCTTAATTTTCTAGRGAGCATTTCGACGAATCATTTTATTCAGTTGTCCAGATATACCGTTATAAGAATATATATCAAATATACTTCAACCAGAGCCAACGGTCGCACTATAGCTGCCTTCAGGAAGCACTTYAAACTGAGTCAATCGCCMTTTCAAACAAGTTTTTTKGGGGGRWTWAWTTTWAWTKRAMYTTKTTTTTCGTTTTCAAAAACGCACACAAAGGCTTTGCTCTCTTGGGGAGCTTTCATATAAGTTTTTTAGTACAMCTTATGAACACTTCGTTTGTAATTTTAAAACAGCTGAAAAACAAAAACATTACTCATAAAARCACTCGACAAACACTGCGAGTACCTTTGGACTCAGGCCAGCTTTATGAACAMYCCCGGTGAGAAAATGCAGGCAGCCTGTGAATGTATGTTCACAATAATCGAACTTAATTAAAATTACGCTTTCTCATTACCTTATAAACATAGCTTTATTATTTTATTTTTATTGAGATAAGATTCTCTATTATATTCAAAAATGTCTCTTCACCGATCAAGTTTTCGGGACCATCTTGTTGACTGCAAAGGTACTGAATTTACGGTACGACACTGATAATCATATATCGCGTTGTTACGTAAATTAACATTTCCGTGTTGACAGGGTTCGTTKAATCGGCAGTTCCGGTAATTTCTACATACTAAACAAACACCATAGACACAATTCAAAACCTCAATTACAACCTCACATTGAACTAGMTAGACAGTTCCATATAGAAAAATATCCAATGTTAAAGTTTGCATTTCAGTGAGTAMATGTCTGCAGGTCTACTTGACGTTCGGTGAATTGTCTCAAATGAACATCTTCATTAAACAAACTAAAGGATTTGTAGAAAATGCTTCAATCAATTTTTTCCAAGTGATATCGATTCAATATTCACACTTTTTCTCTTTTTACTTTTCTCCTTGAAACGGGTGCATTATTGTCCTGAATGCATCCTTCATCAATCTTCTAACTTGCCATAACATACATCAAGCTTTACGAGATTTTCACGTGTTGTCAGCTTTTATGAAATGGGCTTAATTTATGATTATACCAAATGTCTCCATTGGGCTTTTCTTGGCTCGGAAAAACATACTTTTCAGGAAGAGCAATATAATCAGTTTATAGAGAATCAACAAAACCCTTCGATATGTGAGCTATATTATAACTTGTCCATGATGTAAAATGAAATATGCTTCAATAACTGTTGTTCTGACCGATAATTAAAAGTAAGCCGTTTGAAAATAACCGGCTGAGGAAACAGCATAGGTTCACCTCAACATCTGCTCGAAAAGACAAATAACAAAAACACACTTCAAACAAAATAAAAGTAAAAAAAAGTCAAATGCAGATATCACCAAGAACCTGTTTGCTRGAGCCTTGCCAGAATTCAGCTGKAAACTGCAAAAACCAAACTTTTGCAAAAAAAGTATAGAACTATAAGTTCCAAAAGTAATTATCTTTAAAAGTTTAAGAAACGTCCACACTTCAAGTGTTGACCTTTGATTACAACAGTGTCACAATCAGACCAAAGTCAGCAAAAAAAAACCAAACAAACAAAAAACATTGCGTTCATTTTGCATACAATTGTCTGGTTGCTAGCCCAAAGATGACATTTTGACCTTATAGGATATATAATATAGAGGATAGTACATGGGCACGTGGAAATGCGAAGTTTATCTTCGATTACCAATCGGAGTGTTGAAAAGATCTCTCACGAGTGAGCGTAGCGAGATTTTTTAACACGAAAAGATAAAATTCTTATCTCCAAGCGACCATGTAATATTCTGTTTATCATATAATTATATATGAAAGCAAATTATGYCGTAAAATACCTTTCCTTTACCTCCAATATATAGAGAAACCTCAAATATGTTATTTTCACTAGTGAAAAGAACTTTTTTTCGAATTAATAGAGAAATATAGGTATTTCATAGATAATTTTAGTACCCGTGTTTGGATGTATTTTACCTTCATTAATTCACATGTCAATATTTCTGACATTTACTTCATGTTCAGTTCGCAGTATGAATTCATTGACAGTTGTTCAGTAATATCGAGCTCGATATAATCCATAAAAGTCAATTAGTTTAGACTGGAAATTTCTCTCGGACAACATGCAAGCAATTAGATTAGAATCAGAAAAAGAGATATATTGTTTAAAGGCGGTATCCACACAATGCAATCAACTTCGGGCTTCAAATTRAAGTCAGTATTTGACGGTGTGCATTGTGATCAGGAAGTATTTGTCTTGATAGACTGAAAAACTATATTACTAGTTATCGGAAAGTGATGACAATTTTATTCATGAATCACATTGAAGTTATTGCACTGTAACAAACCCGCATTTCACCTTGATRAGAAAAAGAAAAATAGTCAATATTAACACAGTATTTACAAATAAACAATCTGATCAATCATTTAAGCGAGGAAAACTGTTTTTTCAAAGGCGAAAAACTTGTTAGCAAAATTTGACATATTGATATATCGGATTGGTCTTTGTGATTGGCTTAAAATGGTACCTATTCAATTTTATATTTATTGTGATTGGTTGGTCTTGTTTGAAGGACTGATTAAAAGTTCTAATTAGGATAGTGGGGAGATCCGGTGGTGGTTTGTAATAATCGAGCACAATTCATCGCTCGGACCAGAGTAACTATTGAAAATGAGCGCGCGAGGTGGTTATCGTGAAATTACGCATCATCTTATATTGTTACTGATCGTCTGTCTTTCTGTCACAAAACCATCTTCTCATCCTCCCGTCTGCAAAATTTCTCACACTAAAGAAGGGGTGTTTGTGTCCTGCGACACGGATTCTGCAAGTGATATCAAGAATATTGCAAACCAGAACCACATATTATCTTTGTAAGTTATCTAAACGTTTTCTTGTTCGAATTAACATTTGTGTGATTCAGGCAAACAAACACTATCAATTATTATCAATTATTGTTTTACATGTGTTAATTCAGTTGGCTGTAGTGAGGCTTGATTTACACGTTGAGATACTCGCCAACCTATGACGTGCAAAACGTTCTTGGAAATTTGAATTTAAAAATCTTTGTTTAGCGATGGCTGGAAATTCGTCGCTTGTATACATGATGCTTAAAATATAACATGACTTATAAAGTTGTAAACTCGATTTAAACGCTTTAAATCGCGCATGCGCACATGATAAGCAGCTGTCATGAGCGAGTTTGCTTTACTAGGACAATTGACCCGCAASCTTACGCCAATTGACCCGCAACCTTACGCCAATTGCAGTTACATGATGTAGTCATGTTTGATGATATAATATATCATAATTTCGATATTTGTTTAGGAAACTATCCAATAATAACTTGACCACATTACCAAAGGGAATCTTTCAAAACTTCAAGTCGCTCCAATACTTGTAAGTATGAACAGTTTCTTGACATCATGGTGACATCTYGTGAGGAGAGCGCACTTAACAGATGTTATCAAGCTTTGCTTACATGCTAGGTAAAGGTGGAGGGAGTGGGTCATATGCCGGTAATAAAAATGGACAAAACAAGACGAAAAAAAAAAGAAACTACTGGCACCTGCATACATGCATAGCTAACATGACGTAAGGAAACTTCTCCTATTATACCAAGCGACATGTCTTGTTTCTCACTTTCTGAATGATATAAAGACTTGTAGTCAGGTATGATCGACTCAATTGACGTGGAAAACGATTAGGAACAAGGAAAGGAAGGAAATTACTCGATTGATTGAAAATTGCAATTAACYGAAGCACAACTAAAACGTTTTCAATCAATTACCGCAGACATAAGTTGGGGCTCAAATCGAAATGAAAAAACTGTGACTTTTTTAGAAGGAATTCGGGGGAGGGATAATAAAGTTCTAAGGCCCTATCCCAAGCCACATGTACAGCTTACATGTTTCACGTAGGTTCTGAATGATTTCAAGGGAAGACTTTGAACAGATCTTCGAAATTTAAAAGGAAATGCAGGGTCTTTCTTTTGACAGATGTATTCATGTACCTACGCGTGTACAAATCTGATATTTTATACACAGCTTAAAAGTCGAAATTGCCCTTAGAAATTACTATATTAAAAACAAATCGTATTTGTTTAAAAGTTCGATTCGATTTTTCCACTTTGTCCAACCCAGGCCTGCCCTTTGCATCTTGCCCTTGGACGAGAAAACTGACCTCGTAAGACTCAGTAAGACAACTACAGTTACAATTAAATAATTGCAATATATTTTGCATTATCTCAGGTACCTAGACCATAACATAATCAAAACTGTAGAAGAAGGTGCCTTTTGGAACCTTGAAGCTCTGCAAGTCCTGTAAGTACATGTTTACTTTTTAGTGATATCCACAACGGTACTAAAAACTGT